TATGTATATGTATATGTATATGTATATGTATATGTATATGTATATGTATATGTATATGTATATGTATATGTATATGTATATGTATATGTATATGTATATGTATATGTATATGTATATGTATATGTATATGTATATGTATATGTATATGTATATGTATGTATATAAATATATACAAAAAAATCTAACAAACTTGGTAAGAAAGAAAAGAATAATAGGAAAGCTCCTAGCTAGAAAATTCTCCCACATGCATGTAATATTCATACCAAACTTTTGTTACAAACTGCATTTTGGGAGGCTCAAAGGGGTAGCCACCTGCAAATATATTGGTCACCATCAATTTCTAAACTAAACCTATAAAAGAATACTTCAGTTCATGCATGACATTAATAACATATAGGAAGAAATACATAGGATAAATAAGTACCAAAGAGACATAAGGTTAAGCTCCAAAACATTTTAAACAAACAACCTCAGGTGACCATATGATTATGAAAAAACGGCATAGATCATACATATGGGAACGAGCAAATACATGAATACCTATTACGCATGCATGTACAGGATCAAAGAGAGCACTCAACATATAACATGCATGTGCACAAAGATAGGTACATATATTTGGCACTAAGTGTCGAAAAAATTTAAAATACATTTAAGCAAACATTTTAATAGAATGCATATGGCACTTGATACATATTGATGCAGGACAATTTTAATTAGTCACATAAGTTGTCAAATAGAATTATCTTTCATAATCCTATATCGGTTATCAAAATTGCTAAAGGAGAAAGAAAACGCAAGTTAGCTGAAGGAAGGAAGGAGACAAATCTTAGATTAATTTTCAGTTTCCGAAGAAAAACCAAGGGCATAGTCTTGGATTCAATTGAAGATATCATCCTAAGAAAGTTTCTTCTTGATTGAAGAACCTACAGTAGAGGAAACCTATCAATAATATATTTTATCAATAAAGAATTTTGTTTGGAAAAAAAACATGGAATACATCTTCCCTAGAAAAAGGAAAGATGAAATAATTAATATGTTTCTGATTTATGAGATGTAATTTTCTTTATTGTATTTTTCTGTTTATATTTTCCTTTTCTTCTACTTGGAAAGACTATTAAAAGGGAAAAGACATTATAATTAGAAAATCAGAGAATAAATCAATAAATTAAGATTCTTTCATACATATGAGTGGTGTGAAGTCATATTTTTTTATGGTACAAATCTATATCAATTTGAAAGATGTATGAAAGTGTGATGTTTTTGTTCATCGGTGTTTCTCCTTAAGCTTAGAGCAAATCTACAACTTATCTTTTTTTTCTTAATATCCTTTTCCATCATAACTTTTCTTTTTCTCTCTCTATCTTTCTCTATTTTCATATAAAAGATATATACTTCCTCATGCAACATTACATATGCTTTCTATGAAAATAACAAAAATAAAATAAAATGTTTTTCATTGAGCTGCTGAATAATTTGGGTTCTTACCATGTAAATCTTTAACAATTAGTTGGCATTGCAAAAATAGTTATGTATCATCCTAGACTGTTTCATGCTTGTTTGTATCCTATAAAAAAAAATATTTTCTCCAACATAGTGAAGAAACCATTGACTAAAAAAAGTATTCAATGTGAAAAGTTGGGGGAAATGCTGTTCTTAACATATGTAGCAGAAGCAATTTTGTTAAGCAATACTATTTTTGCTAGTCGGATCACCTAATCAGAAATACCTAGTTTGTCATAGCCAGAGATAAGCCTTATACAAATGGATTCTAAACCCACCAAAAATATCAAATTCATGACATTATTTTCTATTAAAAAATTTCAATTGATGCTAATTGCAAAGCATCATACTGTAGCCCTACAAAGTTTGGTCCAAGTCATCATTGCTATTTTGAAAAAAGACATAACAGCCTTTAAAATGGCCAAATTACATCTTCTAGTAGTTCCTCTATCATCCCAAATTTAACGGCGAAAAGATAACAAGAGGTCTGAAGCAAGGTTTAAATATGATAAATAAGAATAGTTCATTGGTATACATACAAAGAAATTCCAAAATAAAATTAACACTGATATCTTCAACTTGAAAAAGTTATAACATCTCAGAAGTTAACTATCGGATGAAGGTATGAAGGTGGAAAAGGTATCCCTAGGTAACTCCATTTATATAGCTGAGTCATTTCATTTAACCACAATATCTAATAGGTCTTCTTTGAATATCATCACAGTATGTAATTGATTTTCCTCATTTTAGATTCTATTACGGCTATAAATTACTATTTGTAGATAAAAATATTCCTCATTTTATCTTTTCAAGTAACTACACATCTGGCCTTGGTATCGTTGTTAATAACTTTGTTTACATGTTTCTTAACTATCTAACACTCTTATTCATGGTGCATGACTAGTTTTACAATCATCTTATAAATTTTCTTAACTAATCTAAGACACTATTCTTCTAATGCCTCTCTCCACTCCAGCTCCTCTACTTTTACTCCCTGAGCAATTGTTTCATCAATATATCGTCCTCATAGAATGATAGTCCTACTTAGTCTAAATCTTTGGTATCCAAACTTTTATTGTCATAACTTCAATTTTAGAATAACTCCAACCAAATTTTCATCAACCAAAACAATATTGTCAACAAACAACATACACCACCATGGAAATCTATAGACTCTATACTATGACTAATAAGTTTGTATTACTATTACCAATATAAAAAAAGGTAAGGACTTATAACTGACTCCTGTTGACTTTATGATAATCCTACTTAGTCTAAAACTCTTAGTTTCTATCTTTTAACGTCATAACTCAAATTTAAGATTAATCCTATCTAAACTCTCATCTACAGAATAATATCATTATCAATAAAAATATATCATTAATTACCAAAATGCCAATATAAAAAGGTAACACTTAAAACTTGCTGTTGGAAGAACCTTATGATACTCCAGTAGCATCACTAAAAAAATAGTTAGTGTGTGTCTACCTTGGTAAAGAAAATTATATTGTGTATCAGTAAGCAGCTAAACATTGTATAATGTGAGTATTCTCAGTATATTGAGATATTTAAATCCATCTTATAGTTAAAGCAACAATAACAAGTATACAATTTCCACCAACTCGCTTGATTGTATCTTCTAAAGCAACAATAACAAGTATACCACACATGGTACATAGGGGCATACCAATGTACCACCTGTGTTGGTCCCTTGTCGGACTGGTACATACCATCCTTACCGAACGATATGCCACGGTACGATGAACCTTGATCTATGGTATTTCTCTAAACTTTACATGAGAACATAATTGTTTGTTGTACTATAATCCATAAAAAAGCATGTATGGATGCAGCTTTTAATCAACTATTACTCACATGAAGCTCTTCGTTCTTTGATAACCAAATAACTAAGCATATGGTTGCATTGGAAAAATAATTACATCAGAGATCATTAGTTTCTGCTTCCACATTCTCCAACTCTTTGGCCTTCCATTTACCATTCCTTCGCAATGCTGATTCCCAAAATTAAGAACAATATATTGATCTTCATGTTTAACAATTCCGTACAATTATTCCATTATTTAAGCATCATGTATACAAAAGATAGAGGGATTGTTCTTCCAATTTCTCCAATCTTTACCCGTGCTAGGTTTAAAGTTGACACCACGAGAATCAATAAGCTGTGAAGCCATTGGACCCATGGTTTATGTCAGTCAGTATGGGCCAAATTTACCTTTTTTAATAACTGACTGGGATACAGATCAAAAGATTTATCCGGTTCAGTTTGATTCGGGTTGTACCTCCAAGTGAAGGCCAGTATACTCATTGCACCAAGTTTACCAGCGGTATGCAGACTGGCACAAACTACATCAAGAAATAAGATCACTGCCTACTACCGATACCCATCTATATTTTTGACAATTGTGATAGTCAAGGTTTTAAATACTGCCAAGACCAGTCGGTATGGATTGGTATTTACCAGTTCAATGGCCAACTGCAATGTTCAATGCGGTATGGACTGTACCACTTAATAAGCTCACCATTCTGGACTTTCTAGATGGGAAATAGCTCAGTACCAAATTGTATCGGGTAGTATGCTCAGTGCCCGATACAAATACCAACTTTTAGTTTTTTAATTTTGTAACAGCTATTTGTCTTTTTTATATTTTTTCTATTTCTCTCGCACGCTCTCTCTCATGCACATGCTTTCTCCCCTCCTCCACTGCCTTATCCTTCCCACAGCATCGCCACCTCTGCCTCCTCTTTCTCCTCTTCTCCTTCCCCCCCTCCTCCCCCCTCTTCTCTCCGTCATTTTCTTTGGTCCAGGCTATGGTGTAACATTTCACCCTGACTGGTACATATGGAGTTCTGGTACATATGGATCTGAGTATGTACCAAGTTCTCTCCGTCTCTCTCTTCTATTCCTCTGACTCCTCCTCCTCTGCCTCACAGCATCATTGCCACCTTGTCCTCCTCTTAGTGTGCCTCCTCTCCCCTACTTCTCTCCCTCTTTCTATATGATCTGAACGGTATCCACTTGCACCAAGGATCAGCAAGTTGATCCATACCAATTCCGTACCAGTCTAACTGCCAACCAATATAGTCATCGGACCAAAATTTTGAAACTTGATTGAACCAAACAATTTTCTCTTTAATTTAGCCCTTTTTTTGGACAGCTTGATAAATTTTCACAAAAAAGGTACATTCAATAAAGAAATTGGCCATCTCTATGAATTATCATCTGAACCAAGGTTGGCTGCTTCTTCCTCTTCTTGTACAAATTATTGCTTCTAAGTCAACCATATTCCTCCTTGATCTCACCATTCTTTCCACAACAAGAACATAGAGATTATCCGTCTATATTTCCTGTTGATTCTCTCTATTTACAAAAAGAAAAAGATAAGACCCTAAATCATTTGCATTGAATCAAGAAAGCCATCCAAAAGAGCCATAAACTCCAGCAATAAGCGAATCCTTCCAGACAATCGCTTCAAAGATACCACCAAAGATCACGTTTTTCACAGAACAAAGAACAGGAATCGTACTGGGCAATCGGATGTCGATCTGGAACGTGCCGCCCTCGTAGGGGGTGGCGACGGGGCCAGAGATGGTGCCGGATAGGCGAGATAGGTCGCTCCCCCCATCGTGGAGGGCGATGCTGACCCCGGAGATGGCCGTGTCCCGGTTACACTCCGCCAGCTCCTTCTGAACCCTAGACACGTCCAACATCTTCACCAAACCACCTAGAATCACCGACCACGAAGAACGCAAGCTTCGATCGAGGCGATCACGGGAAACCCTCGCGAGGAAAGGAAGGAAAGAATCCTACTCGAGGGAGAATTGGTAGGGAAGGTGGCTTCGCATTTGGGGCCGCGAACAAGGAAAGGCGTTCGAAAAAGCGAAGGGTGGTGGCCTTCTTGGGTTTGGGCGTTCCTGCGGAACAGGTTAAGTGCATGTACCATACAAGCGATAAGGGAGTCGGCCCAATTAGGCCCAAATCCAATAATAGAGCTTAATTGGGCCTTGGATTAGCTTTATTCGAGATCTATGGATTAGATTTGGGACGGCCCAAATCCAACATTACCGTGAATATTTGTAAGATTATAGCATTAAAAGTCAAAAGTCACTATTGATACCTCTATGTTTGATGATAAAATTCAACTTTGTTAATCATCTATTAGTGCCTCAAGGATGCTATTATTTTTTCATGAACAAAATATTATATATTAACCAAAAGTCACAAACCCTAATCAAGGAAAAATTTTCGATCGGATTCGTCAACCTGATATTTAGAAAACAATTTAGTAAACCTTGCCATGAAGTTTGATCTTTGATATTTTTGCTTGTCTGCAAAGATTTGGATGACTTAAATTGGTTTATGCTGTTGCTATATTAGAGAACATATGTTTGCCTGTATCATCTTTTATATTAATAGAACAATGATTCTGTGTCCCATTAAAGAATTTAAATATTATGAAAGGATGATGATTTTAATTCAAAAGCATATATGATTTGATCATTTAAAGCTAAAAGATCGGGAATACAAAACATTGAATGACTTCCAATCGTGATGGAAAGAGTGATTCTTTATATCTAAATAAAATCTATGATAGAACCCTTATGAATTCTAAGCTTGGGGTTGATCTCTTTATGGGATCAACTTCTTTGGAACTCTATAGAGGTTCCTTCATCCATGTTGAAGCTCAAAGGCTACTAAAAAGATTCATCTATTTTTTAAAAAAAAGAATAAATACATGATTATTTATAGGGCTTCTAAACTCTAACTCCTAATATGACTCCTACTTAAGACTCGTATTTCTAATCAACTCCTAATATAACTCATACTCAAGACTCTTACTTCTAACTAACTCCTAATGCTTATCCAAGAAGTAACCTTCAAACTAATCCTAACCTTAGCCGGCCTCTTCATCTCTTTAATAAGAGTCGATTAGGTAGGTTTTACATGAATGCCTCTTTCAATGAAACTCAATTAAGACTCTCCTGATTGTAATCATAACAACCTCTCTCTCTCTCTAGCTATCTCTCTATGCTTTAAGTAATTAGGGTTGTACCTAAAATAATAATCTCTTTACGTGCAGGACTCACTCGTTTGATTGTCTCAAGCAATTGTGATTGTAGTGAAAATAAAAAAGCCTAATCTGATTATAATAAGATTTTTATAAACTTTGCCTTGTGATTATAACCCTAATGTATAGGTCATTGAGAATTCTCTTTGGATCCATGTATATGATCCGAATCCAACATGGATTCAGTGGGTTTAGGTTAAGCTTATATAGATTTGGTCATAATTGACTTGATATGATTCATCCGATTGATCAATTAATGTATGGATTAACCTAACCCATTGATTCTAATTAACCCAATTCATAAATTAAGTAAAACCTTTTGTTTCCTATCACTGTATTAATTTTGAGATTTTAAGTGTGAGTATCATGGAAACCATTCAATATAATAATTTTTTAAAGAAAATTCTAAAATTCTCGACCTACCATGATGAGTTTAGAAATTCTTAGTCATATCTTGATTAATACTCGATCTTCTAATGATCAATTTGGGTTAGGAAAAATCGATTTGGATATCCAACCTAAGTTGAGCCCATAAACACAAACTAAAATTTTGTTTCCATGCAAAACAAATCAAATCAAAAATAGTAATTCCGTGAGATCAGCTTAATGTACAGGGATACTGGAAGGAAATAATGTCATTCATGGTGGTCAATATATTTTTTTGGGGTGTAATAAGATCATATGGTTTACATTACAATCCAACGAGGAAACAAATCTACAATAATAATAACCAATTATTATTATTATTATTATTATTATTATTATTATTATTGGTCTCTCTCTCTCTCTCTCTCTCTCTCTCTCTCTCTCTCACACACACACACACACACACACACACACACACACACATTAGCTGCTATAGGTGTTCCCATGGAGATGGAAGCGGTGAAGAGAAGCCAAGAGGGAGCAGGGAGAGGCCGCAGCCGGTATATCAAGCTCCAGGTCTGCAGCCGGGTGACGGCCGGCCTGGCCGCCCTGGCCGCTGCCACGCTGATGGGGTTTAACAAGCAGACCAGCGTGGTCGCCGGCTTCGCCATCGAGGCCTCCTACCGCTTCTCTCCTGCGTTCAAGTCAGTGAAACTCGGTGCAGATCGAGTGCATGCATGCATTTCCACGGTTCACGCGTCTTACCTAGTTTGCGTTCTTCGACAGGTTCTTCGTGGTCGGCAACGCCATTGCATGCGGCTACTCCGTGGTATCCCTGCCTTTCGTCTCCAATCTGGTCGAGGGATGCACGCTGAACCTGTTCGATCTGGTACGCATGAAGCTTGAATCATCATGGAAGAAATCTTCGTGGCTCTCTCACCGTTTGTTGGTGCTGGCGCAGATGAACCTGGGGCTGCTAATGGCGGCGGCGGCGGCAGCGAGCGCGGTCGGCTACGTGGGGAAGCATGGAAACGATGAGATCGGGTGGGCGAAGGTGTGCCCCTACTACGAGAGGTTCTGCGGGAGGACGGAGATTGCTTTGGGCTGTTCCTATGTGGCTTTTCTTCTCTTCCTCTTCGTCTGTGCTCTCTTCTCGGTCTACAAGTCTAGGCAAGTTAACAGTGAGTGATGCGTGTGTGCTGCCTTCAACTCATATCTAATGCTCCATTCGCTTGCACTCTGTTCTTCAGGATCTTTTGCAAACATGATCCGGTACTAATTCTGGTTTTACAGTTGAATCTTCTCGTCAATCCGTCATCGTGAAATTGATCTAATCTGGTTTGTTTTTCATATGTCTTCGTATTTAGCAGAGGGAAGCAAACTCGATTGGTCGGGAGAAAATTTAATGTCTTAATTTGTCTAGTCTCGAGTGACCTGAGAATTAAAAAAAAAAAAATACAATATAAGGTTTTTTTATTTTGTTTTGAAAATAGTAATTCAAATAATAATACTCGTAAATAGTCTTATCGAAGAAATATATAGTGTTTTCGAGAAAGACTAGAGAATAATTTTTTTTTCAAAACTATACACTAAGTTATAACAAAACCATGCACTAATCTTTTATTTAACCATCAAGTTTAATCTAGAAATTTAAAAATAAACAAAATTCACCAAATACCACTTCTTTTTTTTTGGCTTAAAAGAGTCTTATATCGTTACACATATCAAATTATAATACCAAGTAGTTGTTAGATGAAATCTATTCATTATAATTAGTGGAAGTAAAAATGGCAAGAGCTAACCCATTCTAATAAAATTAATATTTTAACAAAACTACTCTCTCTCTCTCTCTCTTTTCTTTAAATTATTCGAAGGAATAAAAGAAATCAAACAAACCAAATTATGCCATGCTGGCAATATTGCAACTGCACCAAAAGGTATTATTACAACTAGAGAGCCATGTGGCATTTGGTATAGTTTGAATTTGGTTGATGGTACCAAATTTGAGAGCTTAAGCAACCCAAACAAGATTAGAATTCAAATATGAACGTATGGTTGACAAGGTTATTAAGATGGATGAGTGAGAGGTATGCTTTTTAGTTTTGGTATAAAACATTCGCCAAAGATGGATATGTGCCTTCAACCATTTAACGACTAAAATTCTTTTTAATTATCTGTCTGCCCATTGTCAACAATTAAAATTTTTAAAAGAATATTAAAATCTTTGAATTATAAGAATGAAAGAGGAAAAATCCCATTATATTCATTATTCTCTCATCTTCTGATTATGTTTGCTAAGGCGGCCTATCATTATTCTCCTCCACTATATTATAATTATAGTATACAATTTTTTTTAATAATTTTATCCCTATGTTTTATATTTGTATTCTTTAGAAAAATATTAGACATGTGGTCCGATTTCTTGATCAACCATTGATAGAGTGATGCGATATTGAAGGAGCTAATGTTCTGTTTTGTTTCCAAAATCCAACTAAATCAGATCTTGTTCCTGTAGTTATTATGATTTTGAAGTCTAAAAAAAAAAAAAAAAACAATGAATGCAAACAAATGTATTGTGAAGGATACGAATGTTGCCGCTGGTCGAATATAAGCTTCATCAGAAATAGCAGGTCTCGGTTGTCATTCGTTTCTATACGATCGAAAGCTCAGATCTCGCTCTCATTAACCGAGTAAGCCTTGGAACACGACTTTAATTATGTGATGATAATAAGGCGATCGCCGGCTGACAAAAGCAAACACCAGTAGTCAAGGCTAGTATGTTTGTGCTGTATGCGTCAAATGCGAATCACCACTTACGAGTAGATAGATGCCCAGGAGCGATTCATTTGGCATCACATGGAGATAATTCCCCCCTCGTCCGACTCTGATCCGATGTAGCAGCAGTCTGCAGCGACGCGAAGGATGATGGTAAGTGCAAACCCATCGACGAACAACATCGGGCAGATAGATAGCAAACACACCAAACCTGTAAGAGATCACTTTGGGTAGAGGATGTCGTAGTGGCCAGGGCGATACAGCAAGGTCACGCGCGGCACCGGTGGGTCGCCTGCGTCGGACGCACTGCTCTGCATCGGAATGAAGTCGTGATGTTTTGGCGTTAAGTCGCCGGAGCTGGATGTGCTCTGGTCAAGACACTCCACACGTGTCGGCACGCCTAATGCATCACATAGAGCTGTGATGTGCACATGGTCGCAGTCCTCCCCCATCATCTCCACCGAGTCCTGGCAGAACTGCGAGCAAGATTGAAACAGTGAATCATTGTAACCAACAAGGTTTGACCACTCGTTCATATCTGATTAATACACATCCGATTGATACTGGTAAAGATGCACCAGAAATGCTACTCTTGATGTATGTAACAAGGATGAGAAGTCACAAATATAACCTTGGCCATGCCTGTACTTTCTACGCCAGCAAACGGCGCAAAAAACTCTGCTCTTATGCGTAATTCGCCAGAAGTAACCATCCTGAAGAACAAAACAACTGCCAGAAATTTTGTTAGAAGAAAGAGATCCTATTGTACGGTCTGGGACCGATTTCCTCACCACTATCTGAAAACATTTGATCACAGCTCTTCTCCAGAAGCAACTCGTGACTGCAAATGCAGAACGAGCACGTTCATTAGATGTTTACCTTTATATGATATCTCCCTTTTTCTGGGTGGCTCATACAAGACGATGTTGCAGTCGAAAATCTACCTGATTGAATTGTCGTTCTCTTGAATAACACTTTTCAGCAGATCAATGAATAACTGAGATAATAGTCATAGCTGTCAGCAAAAAAACATTCATAGCAGGCTTTTCATTCATTTTTGAAATAAATTTCATAATGAAGAATTCAGCAGAACACAGTGTAGTATGAACAAACATACAAAATCCATTCGATGGTACTCTCTGATGTTCACTTAAGATACTTCAGGAAGCGTAAGTGGTGATGCCAATTCAAAAGATTGACAAAGAATGACAGAAGGTGGGCCCGTTGAAAGCGATTAGTGATGAGTAAATTAAGATAATAAATAATTTACCTTAAAAATGAATTCAGATCAGTTCAAAATTGAGGCTGATCAGATTCATTCGTTCTGACAAATAGCAGCAAGACAGCTGTTAGAGAAAACTCTAAGAAAGGTGAAACCAATCCATAGGAGACCTGATTGGACTTTCATAGGTAGGCAAAGAACAGCATGTCTGCTGTTCATTATCTACAGTCAGAAAGGAGAAAGGTAGAAGAAATGAGAAAAAAAACAAATACGAGAAAATAGGATAAGGATCAACCACTGACCCAGACTAGATCGGCCAAACAAAATATAAATTCGTGTAAGTAGGTGGTGGCTGAGTACCCCATCAACCAGTACGTATGAAGGCCATCTGATATGATTCCAAGTTAACTTGACGACATGCATTGAGTTACAGGAAATACCAGACAGGGAGATCTAAAAAAATCTTATATGCTTTATTTGATTCGAAAATTTGACATGATACATCAATGTATGCCAGTCACGGAACAGAATTTGCTTCAGTTAGTGTACTCAGTACCAGCATGCATGGAACAGAAAGAAGAATTAATGAAACAAAAGTGAAGAACCGAAGTGACAAAGCTTACTGAGAAGATTTCACTGATCCTATATTCTTGGTCTCCCAGAACTAGCTGTGCCTTCCTACACTGTTCAATATTTGCAAGAATGCGATCAACCTCGGCTGTGTCTTGTGTTTCCAATATATGTTCCTAATTGCACATCGCATAAACATCACTAACTCATGCTAGAAGCTTTTGCTGAGCTAACAAATCACAAAGGCCACAAGAACTTCCTAGTAATTTTGAAAGAAATTACCAGATAGGAGAACATAAAACTTCGATAGAAACAATTTCCATCTTTTCGTACTCGCCTCAGTGCAGCATAGTTGTCATAAAGGAGCTGCAAGTAGCAACATATTTGACACAAACAAAATTCAGTCGAAGGTAATGCTTAATGATTATCAATGGATAACGAACAGAGCAGCAGTGACTGTTGAGTCATTCCATGAACCTTGATTTTTGCCTGAATGATGGGGCTGCCTGATTGAAACTCAGCAACCAGTGAGGAAAGAGGTTCCTATGCACTCAGAAGATAAGAGTTGGCTTTTACGTGACAACAACATTGTATAACATAATACAACATATCTTAGAATATAATTATTAACAAAAACATCAGTTAATTCATGATGTAACACTTCAACACCTAAACAGTTTCATAACCAGCTACTTGCAATTTCAAGACTAAAATGTGTGTGCAAATATTTTGCAATGTCTTAGAACTAGAAGCATGGAAATAGATACTGACATGCAGACACGATATGATCCAAATTAGCTAAAATTGATCAATCTCAACCAGACTTAGTCGATTTTAGCTAATTATTTCAAATTTAAGACTCAAAAGAAGGAACGAAGAGGAGAGGGGTAGATGGGAATAAATAAAAAGGATAAGCAAGGTGAAAAATTGAAGGCAAAAGAGAATCCTATGAAGCAAAATAAAGAAGACATTGTTATTGTCTTATTTGATACTCAAATAGAGAATGTTGTATTCGCTACTCACTGCAATCATTTTTTTTACCGTCTGACAATTCTGCGATGCCTGTTGTCAATTAGTGATACAATGGAGAGAAAAGGATACTGGGAGAGTGAGAAAGGAAGGAAAAAAAATTAGTAACCTTTGAGGAAATAAGCATCACCATTTTATATAAAAGGAATAACATGGGCTTGCTGATTACATTCTCTTTAAAGATGTCATTTGATAAATTTTTAGTATGACATACATAATATACGTTCAATATATCAATATCTTTGTATGATATGATCAATATTTTTTTTTAATGAAATATGCTTCATCACGCCTAGACCTCTTCCTTGCTGACTCAAAATTATTTTGGAATATCTCAGTAACAGATCAAACTAAAAAAAAATCAAGTTTTTGTACTATAAACAAATGAAGTCAAGACTAAGAATAGCTTATATTTACCTTAACATGCCGTGATGCTTGAGTAGATCAATCATAAGTCTAAAACTAGTTTGTTGAAATTTTATGTTCTGTGCTTTCTAGTCTTTCTACCATCTATTACAACAAAAAATATTTTATGGATATCATAATATTTAATGTGCCTTGGACATACCTTATCTGCAAGCAGAAAATAACAAGATGTGCCACCATTGAGATTATTGAGCGAGATTAACTCAAGGAATCACATATCAAGAAGAATCCAGTAACAACAAGCAAAACTTAGATCTTGGAACTATTGTGGAAAAATAACTAGTGGTCCGAAAAAAGACTAGTTGGGGGCTTTGCGTGTAGCAGAACGCCCAAATCTAACTACTGGTCAGAAAAAAAAAAACAAATTAGGGGATTTGCATGCAGCGGATACATGTTAATAGATAATTGTTTCTTGCACGACATGAAAGGATAAGAATTCCTGCAAACATACTTAATGTAAACCAACGCAGCATGGATACTCTGAAGATTGCACTAAAGAGTAGCAAAAGCCTGACGAAACTAGAAATTCATTTTAATTACACAATCTTGAAAAGGAACCAGAGAACAAACAGGAACAAGCTAACATCACAGCTTGCACCATTGGAATCCACTACATATAAACTTTCAATTGATATTGCCAAGCTAAAGAAGTCAAGCAGCAAGGATCCTACTGATGTGATGCACAGTTCATCCACCATCATGGCGCAGAGCTTAGATAGATGTAGTCAGAGCATCGCTAAATTACACCAAACTACATCTTTGGCTGCTAATTTAAGAAAAATATGAGGTAGGATCCTAAAATGGGTAAAATGACTCTTCCATGAGTTTCGGAATGTACACGAACTACCAAGAATGCGGGACTAAACAAGCACAGTCTCGAGTGATCCAAGGATAAAAGACTAAAGAAAGATAGGATCCAAAGGGGCAGGGAGATTCGCTCACCTTGTGGCCAACGCACGCGTTGTCGTCGGCGACCTGATCGCCGACGTCGGGAAAATTCTGAATGAAGTCTTCGGGAAGATAGGGTTCATAAATGTCGATGAATTTGTTCGCCAGGTTTCTGATTGGGGGAGTCACGCTGGGTGCGTCGGAAGGGGCACCGGTTGAACTCCCCACGTTTCCGATTGGGGGAGTAACGCTGGGTGCGTGGGAAGCGGTACCGGTTGAACTCGCCACGTTTCCGATTGGGGGAGTCACGCTGGGTGCGTCGGAAGGGGTGCCGTGTGAACTCTCGATGAAGTCTCTGAACTCGTCCACCCCCATCGAGGAGACGGTGACGTTGACAACGTTAGTGGAGGAAATGAACGACTGGCTAGTCACCATCGGCTCATCTCCTTCTGCGCTGCTGCCACTGCTGTCGACGTCGTCGGCGACCTTCTGCTTCTTCGAGGACACTTCCATCGCCTTCTTCCCCTTCACCGCCAAGTCGCCGAATCTTCTGCCGGTCTGTTGGCCTCAAGAACAAGAAACGGGAGGAGGGAAAAAGACACCGAAGACGGACAACAGTAGTACGAAACCATAACATCCATTTTAACCGTTGGCTGCTCGGTGTGACTTCAAAGATTGGGCGAATTCTTCAAGTTTGAGGATTTCCCGCCTCAATTTTCAAAAAAATTTATCAAATGCCAAGTCCCAATTTTAAAAAATATTCATAGAGTGTCTTAATAATATGAAAAGATCATTTTATCGTCAAATCCATCGTCTTCTTTTCGTTGTGCCACCTCCGTCGTCGCCTCTATACATTTGTCGGGACATTGGGAGTATGGGTATGAGTATCTACTTAACTCTAGTCATCCTCGTGGAATCTAATAGCATCATGCACATACAAATACAAGGGGGTGGCTTATGGGTCTAGAGTTAGGACTTTACAAGAGATTTTTAAACTTGTGAATTTTTCTCAAAAATTTATCCTAAATGTCTTAAGCAAATGAAGTATTCAACAATTTAAAGGTTTTGACAGTTATTTATTTAAATTTAATAAAGGATGAACACGAGGTTTCGATTATTGATTGTAATATGCATATTTTATATAAAAAAATTATCATATGAGATTTTAAAAATTAACATAATATAACTCACAAATTCACTAATATTGTAGGATTGACAATATTATTGAGTTGTACTTACTTTAATTGCTTCAATAATTTTATTAATAAAATTCATAAATGGCTTGTTCATAGTCCCTTTTTTATTTATTTATTTGATACTTGATGAGTCTCATATACTCATAAATGAAGTGTTAGAAATATATAATCATACAAACTTGGCTATCTGCTTTAAGAAAAAAAAAAGCATAAAAACATAATCAACCAATATTGAAATATAAATTTAAGACATGTGAAGCTTCGTTATGACATATATATATATATATATATATATATGATGAGGAAAAAGGAATCTTTTTTTTTTGTTGTTAATCGTGTGCAGTATGCCCAAGTTTTCTGAATAGGTTGCTTCTTGCTAGTGTTACATTTTATCATGTATAAAATCTTTTTTTTTCCCCACATTTGTAGATGGTTTAATAGTGTGCCATGGGATTCAATGATTTTGGTCTGAGTACTGATCTTAAAATTTTCTAATTCAAAATTGTTGGTTAAAAATAGGATATACATATTTTGATTAAAAATAATAAATCAAAAGATAAAAGTTAGAAAGATATGTAATAGTTGTCTTAAATAAAATCTTGTCCCTCGTACGAGAATCATAAAAAAAAATTTATCATAAAATTCAACCAGTAATATCTCTCATATGAGTATGATTAAAAAAATAAGAAATATTATTTAACTAATAATATCTCTATGAGTAATTTCTCTCGTTGAGAGATTATGTTATAGTTCTGATCAGATTTTGATTATGGTTAGTGACTAATAAGAAGGAGGTTTACTTATTGTAGGATTTCTTAATAGATGATCTTGATGAAAAATACGGTCCTAATTACTTATACTAGATCCTCTGCTTTTACTATAAATAGATAAATACTCCTAAAAACTCAATACAATAGTATATGATATAATGTGAACCGATATTCAATATATATTCTCATATATAATCACTTAGTAGTCCCGTGAAGAATAAAAAATGAGAATAATATTGCTACTAAATCAAACTATGGAATGCTTTCTATGAATCAAATAAAGGATCAAACCATGTAGTGCTTTCTATGAATCAAATAAAGGTATTCTGAATGGCATCAAAAGATATGCTTATCAAATAGTTGATCTATTATTATTTGATTTTATATTTTGACATTAAATTTATTCTATATAATAGCATGATTATATTTTTATATTTACAATTGGCATTAGAGCTAGTTGTTTTGAAATCAAATACCTTATATCGTAAAAGCATATAGCTTTATTTTATATTTAGATTTATTTGTGAGCACCCTTTACTTGCGAAAGGGGATTATCGATTTAGTTGTTTATTACATCCGCTCTAATCGCTTGCTTATGAGCATTAGATATTAATTTGTGTTAAGAATCATGGGCGACTTACTGTCTATGATAGGGATGTTGTTGAGGCTACTATGGATGATATCATGTTATCATTAGTGTTGTGATGATTGGTCAGCGATCTACTATGATTGCTCGACCAACTAGGATGTGATGACACTATTGCATGCTATAGAGTCATCGCTATTGTAGGAGGCAACCTAGTGGAGGGCGACAGCCCATTGTGTTTGCCAATCTTACCACAAGCAGCATAATAAAAGCATGGTGGGATCCTTATTGTGGGCGGATACTATAACTAACAGGTGTTATGTGCAGCAGGCCTAGCGGTAGACGGAAGTTCGATAGCTGGCTCTTTTGGTATGTTATAATAATGGCTGATGATAGGCAATGACAGCGGAAGCATGGTGGCGATGATTAATGTGTGTAGTAGCCCAGCAATAAACAATAACCTTCAACAATAGTTGGCTCTGTCATGGTGCGCCACTACCCATAAGCAGTGGATTGGTTACGGTTCTTGCGATGGTTGAACACTATACAATGGCGGACGATGATGCACAACATGCGATGACGACTAGACTGAAGGTTGTAGGCCTTACTATGGTGGTTTTTTGGTAGGCAAGTGATGAGGATAATAATGGCGACAAGACTCGGGCTGACGTCAGCTGCCCCAGATGATGCCTCACGCCTCGATCGACCCGACAACACCTGGTCAAATGGATCGGCACGCCGATCGAGGTGTATTAATGACCTGCTCAAGCTCGATCGTTCACGCCACGCCAACACCAGTGTCAAACGCTACCAGGAATACGAGCCTGCCCCCTTGCAAGCGGGCACACCAGGAAACAGTAAGCTTCCCTATAAATACCCTCACGTCCCGAACGAGAGAGAAGGAGACCGAGACAACTTAGCTAAAGAAACCCCCTTCACCATCCATTGACTTGATCATCGGAGGGGTCGGGCCGAGTACCGACCCGACCTGTATGCAGGTACGAAGACCGAGCTACTTCCTCACCAACGCTGTGGAAAAGGACCCTTCCCCGCGGGACGTCCCGGCGAGCCCCGACGCTACCCGATCCGCTTTGCCACCCCCGTCAGCAACCCGAGAGACCTTTAGCAGGATCCCAGCCATTCGGACCCGAAACGAGCCGTGTCGGCCTCGAGGCCACGACATAAAGTTGTTTACACTAACAGCAAGGTCTTCTTTCTTAGGTTTTGGGCACTAGTGAACTATCAAGGACTTAGTTGGTTTTGCATAAGTCATGCAGCACCCTTGCATGTCCGTCCGCAAAGGTCAGTCTCTCCGAAACCTCCTATGGTCTCTTAGGGCCTACAAAAGAGAAAAGATGTTAGAGAAAGTACCTCACTCATGATCCATAACCAATTATTTCAGGAAACACTTTATAACCAATACAAATTACAAACAGACTTCACAAGCTCTGAACAATCGCACGACAAAGGATAAAAAATGGTCCACTATAAACCAAAATCTACCATAAGTGTCTATATGACACAATCTTTATTTACAAACCTAAAATGACCACCAAAGCTAACTAAATTTGGGTTGTTAAGCCTTCGATTGTCCCTCCACATGTTGTATAAAGCATGAACAAATCAAAAGATATAGACATATATGAGCATTATATTAAACACCATATTTACAGTTTTATCCATGACATCCTCCCCCACTTATTCCTTTGACGTTCTCATCGAAGCCTTTGCTGACACTGCAACTCCTTGCCTTTGCTGAGTCTTCAATCTTCTGCTCTAATTACAATGTGTCTCTTGGCTCTCAACTGCTCTCCGTTGGTGTTGTTAAGTAGTTGAACTTTTGATCCGTCATGCTACTTCAACTTACCAATGACTCTAACACTAGTGTGGGGTTGACTGAGTTGTGTTGATCCCTATTGGTTCTTCCTACGAATCCTTTAGATGAAGGAAAAAACTATCCTTACTATGCGCCAATCTCTCAAATGCCTCATGCTACTTGAATAGGGTAGATGCTTATTGGAGCTTTAACGAGTATTACCTCATAAAATTTTAAAGTTTTGGATCCTTCCTCCATAAAATTTTCCTGTTGACTCTTCTTTCACTTAGTTATTACTTCCAAGTGGATTCACATCACTTCAACTTTCGATTGATATTTTATTAGAAAATGAAGCAGATAATCTACTCTCAGTAGCACTCATAACCATTAGTCAGGATTTGACAACTATTATATTTCATTTGGTTTCTTCGAAGGGTCTTTGAAGATGTGCAGAGCTTCTCTGTTGGATAGATAAGAGAATTGGGATACTTAGTTTTGCCCACTCTCTTAAGAGTTGAGAAGACAAAGGTTACTTTACTTCGCCCGCCTCATCGAGAGTTGTACTTCATGCATCGAGCTGGTTACTAGCCTTCTCCTACTCTTTGCTTACACTTCTGAAGTGCTTGAAGTGTTTGTACTCCTTGCGTTGAGTTAGTTGCTATGATTCACCTTCTCAATGCCATCGAATTTCTGGAATGTAGGATGTTTTCACCCCAACTTAGACTAAGTCTTTAATAGTTTTGGTCGCCTCTAGGATTGTACCGTCTTCTTCATCAACCCTACTAATAACTCCACTGAGTAGCAAAGGTATAACACCATATACTACCTGCTTCGTTCATTAGTCATGCACTCTTGTATCGACCCGAAGTTCGTTAACACTAATCTTGCGAAGTTCCTTGGCCTCTATCCTTCAGCTTTGTCTTGGTACTTGAAATTTACCTCTACATTCTCTACCTCCTCGACCCCTTTCATGACCAAGTGCTCTCCCCCCCATAAGAGTAAGGGATCAATGACTCCACGAAAATCCCACCTCTACGGTACCATGGCACTGTCATGCCCATGACTCTACTATTTGTCGCCTCGCATCTGTGTCCCTTTCTTCACGATCGGAAGATCTACCTCTGTGGCACTATGGCACTCCTCCGAGTCCACCTCTATTCTAACCGATGCTTGGTTTTTAGGTTGCTAAGTCCCTCTAGACTCATTGTCGCTTCCTCGCCCCTTTC